TATACACAACACATATGTATACATATACACATATGTATACATATACCTATACAAATGCACGTACAAGCATATATATATATATATAGAGAGAGAGAGACAAACACATACACACACACACATATATATATATATATATATACACATACACATGTATGTATATAGACGACAGCGGAGCCACAACAGCGATTGGTTACCAACAGACCACCTCGCATTCATTTTTACAGAGAACACAACAACGAGTGTGAACCACATACAGCTTGAAGGTTGAGGCTTGTAGCCTGGTGTGCCTGACGTCCCTGCTTGTGACTTTTAATGTGACTGATGCTGCCGATCCAAAGATCCCGTGTTTTACACCACACGCGGGTAAAGGTGCGCACACACACAGACACAACAAGAAAAGATGTCTAATGATCACAAGCAAGAACTATCATTTCAGACGAGCAGTGATACAAATGGTGATATGGGTAATGGTAACGCTAATACTTTGGCAATGTTATGCAATGGTAATGGTGCTGGTGATCGCTAAGCAATGGTGATTGTACTGATAACGATAGCAAAAACGACAATGATAACAGTAACTACAACAACAGTGGTAACGATGAGGATGATGATGACGATGATGATTTTGTTGATGGATATGATGGTGTTAGAGAACATGATAACGGCCTTGCAAACGATGGAATGAATGAACATGTTCACCGCCATTATCATGTTTACGATCATGGTAATGATCGTGATAATGATATAATGTTCAGTGAGACTGCCAATGGTTAAGATGCTGTCGATGTTGATGCCAATAGTGATGACATTGCAGATGATGTTGGTCATCATCACAATACCAAAAGCACTGCAAAAGGTCATAAGACAGCAGACAGGTGGACAGACACCGAGAAATGCAGACAGGAGTAAAGAGAGGCAACGAGAGACAGGAAGATATGGACACACATAAAAGACATACACATGTACAGTACATGCATGCATGAAACCCAGCATTGCATCTGAACTGGGTGTAACAAGAAACGAGAGGAGACGTCGTGCGCGCACTGAGTGTGCAGGTCTGCGGCTAGGGGTTGGAGGTCGATTGAAGGTTCAGCATTGCTGGGCAACTATGTGTATGGCACAATGTATGCACGTATTCATGCATGTATGCATGCTTGTATGTCTGTTTATATGTAAGCATGTGTATGTGTTTACACATGCATATGTACATGTATATGAATGTGTACGTGTGTAGGTATGTACTGTATGTATGCATATATATATATATACATACATACATATAATACATATACATATACATACACATACACATACACATACACATACATATACATATACATATACATATACATATACATATACATATACATACATACATACATACATACATACATAGCATGTTTACACCTTGCAAAGATCAGCAGCATGCATTCCATTGATGAGGTTGTCGAAATCGGCCGCCGGTATGTACTTTGTCTTCTCGACCTTTCGCCACGAAAGGCTTGTTCGCTTGGTTTGCTTTCGCGCCCATGAAAACTGCACACTTCTCAAGTCTTGGACTCCACCTTCCCAGCGTCACAATCCCGCAGTGTTCACGTAACAGCGAAGCCCACAGCGCAATTTCCAGCGTACGAGCCGCATCACCCAAGCCACACGTCTAATCTGAGATAAATCTTGGAGCGCAGTAACACTATCAAAACGGAGGCCTTTCAGAATAAACCGACTCTACATGTGCTACACTGTCCTACAGATGTCGCGTAAGGTTTCTTAAAGCCTTCAGCGTCTCCAAGAGGTTTTTATTTCATCATCATCGTCACTGTCAATGTCACCATCATCATCATCATCCTCATCGTCATCACCGTAATCATTTTCATCTTCATCTTGAAATCACCACCACCGTCATCAGCAACACCAGCAGCTTCTTTGTCACGCTCATCCTCATCACGCTTGTCTCTCGTCATCGACCTCGTCTTGGTCCACATCTCGTTTTCATCATTCTCATTATCCTCCTCATCCACTCCTCACCTCACATCCTCAACTCTAAGCTCCCCTCGTGCTCATCCTGTGTTTATCCTTGCTGACCACGCGCTGACTCCCACCGAAACCAGTTTCATTGACCGTCGTCTATTGCAAGAGTTCACTGTCTGAGGCCCCGCACCACATGCTCAAGATCCAAAGCCGATGCCCAGGGCACGCCTCCCGGCATCTGGCGCGGTATCCTTGCACGCGACATTGACATGATTTACAGCAATGAGTATAGCAGAAGGAGTAGTAGTGATTGCATGGTAGTAGTACCAGAACTAGTAGCCGTAGTAGCGTAAGTCGCCGTACTAGCAGCAGCAGTAGCAGCAGCAGCAGCAGTAGTAGCAGCGGGAGCAGTAGCAGTAGCAGTAGCGGTCGCAGTCGGCGTCGTAGTAGTAGTAACCGTAGAAACAGTAGTAGCCATAGTAGCAGTAGTAGTAGTTGTAGTAGTAGTAGTAGTAGTAGTAGTAGTAGTAGCAGGAGGAGGAGTAGTAGTAGTAGTAGTAGTAGTAATAATAGTTACAGTAGCATCAGGAGTGGGAGGCCGTCCCACTTTTGGGATTATTTGCTCGGTGGAAAAGCGGAGGGGGGGGAGGGGGTTGATGGGGGGAGGGAGAACACCATCCAGATTATTCACAGCGATTTTCTTGGCGTGAAGATGCTGTATGTCTCTCGAACATGATACACAGTCGCACGTGTCCATTCCTATTTCGGGCATGCCCAAAACGCAGGCAGTTGCAGTGTTTTCGCCGTTTTGTCCCTGATACTGCCTACAGGTGTTCGACGTTTCTGGAAAAAGACAACACACTGTCGCATGCATCTGTTCCGAAATATAAACATTGAGAAGCTCCGGGAGTTGCAAATTTTGCAACGTTTCAATGGGAGTTGTCGTCGCGATGACCCTCTCCATGGCCAGCGATGCAACTATGAACTTTCTTCAGAGCAGGCGCTGCACACATCGATGTAACAAAAGCAGTTCCTGCAAGATGTCGGTATTGCTTCACAACAGACTGGCTGTAAACACCGCGCGAACTGCCGAGCCGCGCGTAGGCGCCTGCAGGGGGTGCGTGGTAGTGGTCGTCGTCGTAATAGTATTAGCAGTAGCAGTAGCAGTAGCTGGCGGTAGTGGCAGCGTAGCAGTGCCAGTAGCAGTAGAATTGAAAGAAGCAGCAGCAGCACTTTAGTAGCAGTAATAACAATTCCTGGTGATTGCAGAAGCTGTAGAGTATCTTCGACGCAGCAGCAGCACCAGCAGCAACCAAAGCAACCAGGTTCTGAAATCAGATGTCCTGCACCTGCAGGTAGCCTGAACACAGCAATATGTTATTAACAGTGTGAGAGAAGCTAACACTTCCATGGAAAGGTCATGTATTGTTCGATGCTCGTGCGGGCTATATCCCAGCCCACCCCAGTACAAGCTAAAAAGAAATCAGCAATAAAGAAAAATGACAAGTGGGGCCAAGCAGCTTTTCTAGCTGCTGCATGGCTCTGGCACCGTCCGCCTTCACGATCCGGTACATGTTCAGAGCCTGTACACGGAACTAGTGGCTACTATAGTGTATACTGTAGTGTATGCAGACTTTGGGGTTCCACACTTGGTTGGACATCTTAGACTTGATTGAAAGAACGTCCGAACAAAACATGTGATTCGAAGTCTCGTTTGATCGATTTAAAGAAGCATCTGCCGAGCACTTCATCGGGTTCGAAGAGTGCGGTCCACGGCTAAGGTTTGAGGGTAGAAGTACCATACTTCCGAAATCTTTTGGGAGCCTCGCGCACATCTTTGATCTTGTCGTGAACGTCTCTCAATCCATCCACGATGTCGGGACCTTGGTTGTTGTGGCCGAGGGACCGAAGATTGAAGCAATGACAAAACCATGAGGCATACACCCAGCGACCTCCAACTCCCTGCGTGCATTCCAAGACGAACTGCAATCATGACAATCATGTGTCCAAAATCACATGATGCCTCTGCACCAGCCTGGAGGCACTGTTTCAGTTTCAAAATACACGCAACGCATACGTGAACGTGGCAAGTCCAACAACCCACAACAATACTTAAGACTCGCTGGTGCTGTATACTCGTGAGTGTGCGGCCCAGGGCCGGATCTTTGCCTTGCCCAAGCCGGGGATCGATCTCCCCATAATCCTCAACAGGCAAGACGCTTGGCCAAACCCTGAATACAGAGTCCCCAGTTTGGGGCATGGCGGCGTGTCCTTCGGCAGATTCAAAGCAATCCGGAACAACGCACACAGCTTCCTAGAAAACTTCCTTGGTTGCTTTTTGCCTGTTCGCGCTGGTGGGTTCCGTTTGTAGAAACCTGCGCTTGGAAACAGAGCATGGGTAAGTTTGACACTGCCTTGCTGGCTACCGTGCAGAGCAGGAACTATCAGGAAATCGAAACCGTCCTCAAATACTACAGTCGCCCCGGGAAAACGGCTGGGCCACAGCTCCACAGAAGGCTCACCTGTACTTATGATGTTGGAAACAGAATGCCTGAAACGGCCCCAAGATGTCCCAAGTCCTCAATCCACACACTCAACTACCAAACCCGAAAGCCAGCCGTCCGCAAGACACAACAAACACTTCGAAGCGTGTACCCCTTGAGAATTTCAACGGGACGCCGCTTCCTGTTCCGGATCTTCTCCCTGCAGCAGGACAGAAGGTGGTACATGTGTAGCTGTGTTTTAAAGTTTTGCGGTAGATTTGGAGGGTTCACCTCCAGGAGAAGGACATGAAATACACCAGAACAAACTTCCCAGCACAAACACAAGGTTCAAAAAAATGAATCATCGTTGTGACAATACCTGACAAACCTGACACGCAATATGAGCGTCTCACGTTGCATGCCGAGAATTATGCTGATGGTGATTATGATGGTGGTACCCGTGTCGGTGGCGACGGTTTTCACGAATGTCACGGCCATGCTAATGGCGATGCTGATGAAGAGTTTTGACATGATGATGATGATGATGATGATAATGTTGATGATGAAGCATCTCGGCCCGAATCCTTGGAGTGAGCTCCCCAAACATTGCGCATGCGGCGTTAAGACTGCTTTCGTTGCTGGCATTGATAGTCATTCGCCTTTACAGCATTGGCATCTGCCGCATGCTTGTTTCTGGTCAAGGGCAGAAAAGCTAGACGGGGGGCGCCAAGGGCCCAATTCCCCGGTGCGTTGGATTTGATGCATCCTCACAAGACATGAATGCCTCAGATGCAAAGGTCGAGGAGGTATGCACCTGCCTCTGGAGCTACTCGGCGACGACCGAACGACGCTCTACAAACTGCCAAGCAAAGCGGAGAGGCTGATGAACAGATAGCCCGCGCTAGGCGCACCAGCGCACTACCAGGCCGCGCAGAATGTGCTGATGGCACCATCATGTACCGAGGCCGACGATTGAGTTTTCGGCAGTAACGGCCACAATGCAGGTGGCCAGGGAACCCCGCATTGATTCCTCGGACGAAACGCTAGAATTGGTATACTTTCCAAGTGTGGGCGGTCTCTGCACGGCTGCGTGGATGTTTTCGTTTTCAGGATTTGTGCCCCTGTAGGTTCTTCATGCCCGAATTCTCGCAGGAAACTATAACGTAGACTTCATAACCGCCGCTGCGACACAGATGCACAAAAGCAGCCCATGGAGAAATGCCAGACTATGTGGCAGCGACTGGGGCGACTGCTTACAAACCTACCTAGCAGCTAGCAGAAATGTTCGATGTTTGGATTGGGCACATACCGTAGTGCGGGAAGCGCTGGTTTATGTGATGCCCCTGACTTCCAGCAGGTGCTTGCATCAAGTCACATGTGCACGTTGAATACATAGCGTCGATCACCTACATGGACCACAGCAACAAAGCCCGACCCAGTCAGATAGACTGATAGACTTCATTGCGCTAGGTCAGGCCCGCGTTGACTTCCAGGCGTGAACCTGTCATATATACTTCCCCGACCTAAACTCGCCCTGGAGAGAAAAGGTGGGAAGCACAGAGCCTTCGTGGCCCTCTTGAGGTATTCCGCAGACATGCTGGTTTCCATGGTTGTCAAAAAGTTAAAGCCGTAAAAAGAAACGATGTCGGGCTAGGCGCACAGCGTATATCCATGACATCATATGTCCGATGCAGAGCAGGCTGCAAGCTGTGGGTGGTGACATGCGTGCGCTGTGCCAGCACGTGCGCAAACTGGTGCCAAAGGCACCTCGTGAGCACATACAGATTCGGGGGGACGACAACGTACGAGGCCATTCATGCATACTTCCTGAAAATCTACACACACGTGCCCCCATATGTGAGGATGTCCTCTATTTCTTGCAGGCCGAATAAAACATCACTGAAGAAAGAGTTCTGCACGGCCTCAAGAAAGCCCAGGAAAAGATGCGCCGCAAGGCAAAGTACCCCTGATGTCTGGAAATGCTGCGCAGTCAATTGCTGTCTGCACCTTCTCCCCAAACCCAATGAACCCACTAAGATTCCGCCAACTTAAGACCCATAGCCGCAGTCTTCCACCGGCTTGGAAAATGCCTTGCCCGCATCGTACAGACTATGCTATAAGAGCAGGATCCTGCAAGATGTACCTCAGCACGCGTATTTGCCGGGTCGACGCACGCGTGGCGCCATCAGCCGGGACTGCGACGCGAGGCCCGCGAAAGCGAGCAGGTGCGCCCACCCCAGAAGCAACAGGGCACGTAGGTGCGCCACTTCTTGACATGCCTGGCTCTCGTTCTGCCTTCGAGACAGACTGGATCCAGTTTGCGGAAAGGACCTCAGCGCGTACCCTGCCTCTTGTGTGGAACGGTGCAGCACAGACAAGGGCAGCATCAAAAACCACAGAACTCGACACGGTGAATGACAGGCTCAACGCCCGCTACCGGCTGCAGGGCCGCGTCGCGCCTGCTCCTTTCAGCCGGCTATTCAGCTGCGAACCCGCCTATTTGCGCTGCCTACTTCCACATGCGTCAGTTGCTGCGCCCCGAGATGCCACTGAGTGCCGCCGACGAGGTCCAGCACTTCTTCGAACGCATAACGACGACCAGCCAGCAGCTCGGAGAGATCCTCAGAAATCGGACGGCCTCCTTCAAAAGCAACAACTGAGAACACCAAGGCATTGACGATTACCAAGACCGTGTACAAGATGTCGCAAGAGACTTGAAGCAGCTCAAGGAGCAAGGCAAGTCTTTGCGGGTGACCTTGATCATCGGCGTGCTCGCTGCCGCGAAGGAGGCGATGAATAGCACTCCTGGATCACCCAATCAAATCCCGCCTGAGCTTACATGACGTACAACCAGGCGAGAAGCGCCAGGACGTGGGCAGTATCAAGCCGCAAGCCACCCCTGCCAGGCGACCAGGCGGAACGCACCATCCATTATATCTTCGGCGTTGATGAAGCTTACAGGTCGTATATAACCTTGAGGTTTTTCGCTGCTGAAGCTCAGTGGCTCGCGAGCCGCATAGCACATGGTTTCATGCGGGCCTTCCTCGTTGCGAAAAGGGCCATCTGCAAGACCATATGTAGCCCACGCGCTGCATTCGTCCAGTGGTTAAGGCATGCGTGCGACTATCCCATAAGTTATACTTGCTATAATAGATATTGTTCCTGGTTTGGGCGCCAATAACGTTTAGAGCGAAACGTTTTGCTTTTGGAACCTGGCTTTGAAGCAGGGGCTGGGCTGGTGTGGCTTGGGCTGGGCAGCTTTCAGGCAAGGCACTCTGCAGAGATGGGCGGTCGGGCGCATAGCCGTGACTGCGGTGGCTTGCAGAGGAGCATGGCTCGAAACATGGTACCAAGGACCGATTATGCTACTTGCCGCAACCCTGGCTGCGCAAGGCGAATAGGAAATGTTTTTTCGGGCTTCTGTTCGGAGTGAGGGGGTCATAGCCGCCGCTGCAACATCCAGCGTTGGGACTTGGCGCAGCGCCATACCACCACGCCGCTGCGTCGTCTACCAGGTCTACCACAACTGCCGTGTCTTTCCACTCCGTGACCGAGCCAGAGCCTGTGCCGCGGCTGGGCCTCACCATGGATGGCAGTCCACCGCCGCCGGCTGAGTCAGTGGAGAAGTGGTGACTCTCACGTTGCACAACAACCCAGGAATGGTGGCGAGGCACAGCAATCATCACAGCATCGGAGCAGATGATTTTCTCAGCACGCTGGACACCAAACAAGCTCGTGATGAGGAGTGGATGGACAGTATGCTGCCGAAGCTTTCTTTTTAAGTGTGTTGAGTTTAGCAGGAATTGGTGCCAGCCCGGTGAAGCAGCTCTTCGGAGCTTTCACCCACCATGCTGGATGTAAAAAACACTTTGCCCTACGGCGCCGGGCACGCCAAAAGTGCTTGTCGTTTCCAGCCTCGCAAGGAGTTTCTCGTGGATGCTGCGAACCGAGAGATAACGATGACGATGATGATGATGACGGTGACCATGATGATGATTGGCGAAAGTGATGATGATGACGATGATGGTGGTGATGATGATGATGATGGTGATGATGATGGTGATGGTGACGATGATGATGATGATGAAGATGACGAAGATGGTGATGATGGTGGTGATGGTGACGGTGATGATGATGATGATGACGATGATGATGATGGTGATGATGTTGATTGTGAAAATGATGATGATGATGATGGTGGTGATGGTGATGATGACGGTGATGATGATGATGGTGATGATGATGATGATGGTGATGGTGACGTTGAGGATGATGATTCTCATGATGATGATGATGATGACGACGATGAAGATGGTGACGATGGCGGTGATGGTGGCGATGGTGATGATGGTGACGCTGGTGATGAGGATGACGGCGGCGATGGTGGTGATGGTGATTTTGGTGATGGTGATTATGATGTTGATGATGATAGTGATGGTGGTGATCATGACAACGACGTCGACGTTGAGCATTCATGATGGATGGTGACGGGGATGAGGGTTGTCATGGGGGTAATATAACATTCGATATAAGTCACGGTGATCGCGATGATTGGTGTGCATGGTGATGACAATCAGGCTCGTCATCAGAATCGTGATGGTTGCGCGCGTTCGTGTTCGCGATTGAGTGAGCGCCGCAAAACGGAGCGGAGTCGAGAGGAGCGGAGCGGAGGTGAGCGAGATTAGTTACAGCGCACTTAGAACAGGCAGCGGCCGCATCTGAGGGGGCCGTCGGGCCGCCAACAGCGCTTCACCCTCCACTTGGTGTTCGCGCTTGCTATCCACTTACTTCCAAAACCTTCTGGGGTGGCAAACGGTTCAAACAAGCGCAAACGAGGGTACCCCAAGCAAACGGGGTGCTCATAGCCACCATGTTATCGGTATGTCAACAGTCTGGGCGGCGGTGTCCCGGCCGTGCAGTGTCGAGATCGTGTCCTGATTAGTGCCCCGGTCGGATCCCGCTAGGTGTATCGGCCGTATTTCGGTCAGTGTGTTGCGGCGGTCAACTTCCCAATCTTGTCCTCCCTGTCGCGTCGCGGTCAGGGCCCTGTCTTGTGGTGTCCTGATTGTGTCGTGGTCGGTGTCCCGGTCGGTGTCCCACGCGTGCTCCGGTCGTATTTCGGTCAGTGTCCCCATCGCGCCGTGCCGGTACGCCTGTCGTGTCTTGCTCGGGGTTCGGGTGCCTGGCGGTGCCCCGGTCTCGTCCCAGTGGCCAAACTCTTCAGCAAGGAGCGTGGTCTTCGTCGTGAGCCTTTCAAGCTCGTGCCGATGCGCGAGAGCGGCCGCAGCCAGCTGGCAGGGCGCACGCCCATCGCGGCGGCGGGAGCCACCCGCGCAGCTCCGCCAAGCCATCTCCAGCAGCGGGAATGAGCTCTGGGCCGTCATCTCCTTCGACGGCTTCAGAAGAAAGAGGGACTCCTTCATCTTCTTCGTCCTCTTCTTCCTCTCCTTCTTCCTCGTTCTCACGTCATGGAGGAATTCCAGAACGCTCTGCCAAAGAGCGACCTTTTCCTTAGAGGTCGTGAACCGGCCATCGCGGCCCTTGGTCGGCCGAGAGCCGGTCTCCTTCCTCCACTTCAGCCACCGAACGTAACTCATACGCTCGAGAAAGGGGACCTCATCCGTCTCGATGCAGTCGAGAAGGGTAACGCCTTCAGGCTGGCCTGCCACCTCCTTCGACATGGAGGGCAGAGCCAGAGGCGCAGAAGCACGCTGGCCTAACAAGGCTGCACGCGTGAGTCGGACCCACGCGTCCAGCCACGGACCGCAACGGGCCGTGGCACCTAGGGAGCGCTTCCCAGAACAGCCCCCAATTGTGAAGCGCCGCAAACCGGTCTGCAACAGAGCAAACACGGAGCGGCAGCTGTCTTTTTGCTTCGCGGGCTCACACCGCGTACGCTCGCTAAGTCCCTAAGACACCGCGTCGCAGACCGACCGCGAGTTGCAATTTCGGCAGAAGCTACACCTACTCGCTAATCAGCCGCGCGCACTTGGCACTTAGATACTCAAGTTCTTGAGCCAAAACGTATTGTTTTGGACAAACTTTAAACACGCATGCAAGCAAGAACTACTGCTGGCAGAGACCTGCAGAGACATGTGCACATGACGCCACTGACATGTATGTGCACTCACAAGT